CCTGGGTGTTCAAGAGACATTTCTCATTTAACAAATCCAAACTGTTCTGGTCTTCCTCCAAATAAGCCCCAACCCAGTATTCCCCATGTGGAAGACTACCATCTTCCTTGACCCCTCCCTTTCCATCACACCCCCTATCCAGCGTGAAGGCTCCTCCTCCAAAATAAATCCAGAATCCAAACCCTTCTCTTCACCTCCAATAATATCACTGTGGCCCCACGCATCACCATCTCTTTCCTGGATAATCACAGTAGCCTTTTTGTTGGCCTCCCTACTCCTCACCCTGCTCCCCTACCGTCTCCTGCTAATATACTAGTTCAACACAGTCAATTCTCCACTCACAACCCTCCCAGATTAAAAGTCCTCTAAAAACGTCCCTCCCTCTCACCTCTCTGGCCTCATCTCTTCATTCCTTCTTCACTGACTATTTTGTCCACACTGGCTTCCTTTTTCTCCCTCCAACAAGCCAGGCACTTTCCCAGCTTGGGGTGTCTGCACTGGAATGCTCTTCCAGATGGCCCCACAGCTTATCGGGTCTTTCCTCCCTTCCTGGCTCACCCTATTTAAAAATTCAGCTTCTTCCCTGGCATCTGTGGCACATATTGCCTTCTAACTTACTATATACTTTACTTTTTTTTTTTTTTTACTTAAATATGTCTAGCACCCTATCTGTTTTGTTCACTTCAGTAACCCAAGCACCTAGAATACTATATGGAAATAAAAGGCCCTTAAATAATAGTTGTTGCATGAATAAACCACATCCGTCTCATCCATGTTACCTAAGACATCCCTTACTAAGCTACCCGCTCCACCCCTCCACGTCGTTAACTCCACCTCCAGCCCAAACAACAAAAACAATAACTAGCACTTACATAGTGCTTACTATGTGCCACTTAGCTATGTGCTAAGTGTTTTCAAATGCTGACTCATTTAATCATAATAACCCTATGAGGCAAGAACTGGAATTATTCCCAATTCAGAGATGAGAAAACCGAGGCACAAAAAGATCAAAAACCAATAAACAGCAGCTCTGAGACAATGAATCTCCGCAGCCCACTAAGAGCCGCTGAAGAGCCAAAACACAAAGCCCCGCCCCACGACCTTAACCCCGCCTCTTGGTAGCCCGTCGCGCTCGGGCCCCAGGGCAGATTCCTAACCCCGCCCCCGCGCAAAGGCCCCGCCCCCTCCCGCCCCGCCCCCGCGCAAAGGCCCCGCCCCCGCCCGCCCCGCCCCGCCCACCTTCCTGCAGGCTCAGGCTTCTGGCTGCCGGCGAGTCCTCGCGCAGCTCGCGGATGTAGATTCCTTCCTTCCCGCCGCCCGCTACGTTGATGCCGCTGACTCCCGTCTGCGCCTCCGTCTCCACGATGATTTCCACCAACTCCGCCCGCCTCAGCTCCTGCGGAGGGCAGTGCGGGGTCGCCACGGGACGCCAGACCGCGCCCAGAGCCCGCCATCGCGCTTAACAGCGTCTCTTAAACCATTCCTTAGGGCACATGTCCCTCTGCGAGGCTCAGGCTGGTCGTGCGGGCCCACCCACGCTGGCATCTCCCCGTTAAGGAAACCCGGGGGTCGCTCGTTCAGTGGGGCTCTCGGAAAGGTTCAAGGGCTCCGCTGGCTCGCTGCTCTCCCAGATCCCCCCGGGAGGGGCGGGGGGGGGGCGGTGTGGGGGAAGCTAGAGTCCCGACCGAGGAGGGCCTGATGGAGAGGCAGGGGCTATGCTCGCAGTGGGGCGGGGCGGGTTGGGGAGGGTGGGGCTATGGGGGTGGGGCTCCGTTAGAGAGGCCGGGGTGGAGGGGCCAGTACAGGAGCGGGGTGTGGCTAGGTGTCCGTGCTGGTGGGTGGGGACCCACAGTCTCCGGAGCTATGGGGCGGGGCTTTAATAACAGACCAACAGGGTTGCGGGTGAGGATGGGCTCCCAAATAATGGGCTGGACCCTTAAGTGGTATGGCATGGAGGGGCGGGCGTGGGGCTGACCTCCTTGGAAACATGCATGTGCGTGAGACTGTGCCCTATTGTGGACTCTCTGACCCCAAGACCCGCGGAACGCCCATGGGAGAGGGAATCCAGTGAAAGGGGGGTGCGTGGGTAATGAGTGGTGGACAGGCGACATGGTATTCCTGGTATTTACTGTCAATGGTGCTGCCCTGGCCCTGGCCCAGCTGCACACTGTGGGATTCACATCTGGACTTTCCCGGAATAGGCAGGGAGAGACCTCAGTTCCACAACTGTCTGGAAACCCAATCTGCTGTGTCTCTGGGAGAGAACTTCGCCCTCTCTGGGCCCGTGTCCCTACTGTAAAGGTGGGTAAGATGGGTGTACTAGAAGGAGTCTGATTGTGAGCTGAGACCTGAAGCAACAGGCATCCAAACGGATGCTCTGTTGGGCAAGGCGTCCAGATTGGCGCAGACTGGAGTTGAGCCCAGGGCTGGAGAGGGGAAAGCAAGCCTGGACCAGATGCCCCACAGCAGTGGCCCTGAGACCAGAGGGTTGGGCAGAGAAGGGGTAAGAAGAGTCGTGGTGAAGGTGGCAGGGAGCAGGATAACCATCACCACCACCCTTAGGCCCTGGTCTGAGCATTTTCTGTGTGGGACCTCGTTTCACCCTCCCCACAGCTTGGGCAGTCACAGAGGGGGACACAACGGGTCAGAGAAGTGAAGTGACTTGAAAGTTAAGCCACTGGCCTCAACCTCAGGACTCTGACCTCAGAGCCCATAGACTATTGTGTAGGCAGTAAGTAACCTCCTTGCACTTCACCCCCAGCCTGCCACCCCTCGGCCCGCTTGGCTCCTATAAAAGCGGACCCTCTCTGTGCCTGCCACCTGGTAGAATGCAGGCAATGCCAGTGCATTATCTACTTAACAGTGACAGCAGCTGAGAGTAAAGGAGGCTTCCTAGGTGCCAGGCCTTGTGCAAATGGCGGGTGTGAGAGTCCTCAACAGCCTCAGAGTGGGGGGACCATGCCCCATTTCACGAATGTGAAAACTGAGGGTTAGAGAGATCAGGTCACCTGTTTAGGGCTGCACAACTGAAGTGGTAGGGTTGGAATTTAAACTCATGGTCCAGCCCTGTCCGGTTTGGCTCAGTGGATAGAGTGTAGGCCTATGGACTGAAGCATCCCAGGTTCAATTCCGGTCAGGGGCACATGCCTGGGTTGCAGGCTTGATCCCCAGTAGGGGGTGTGCAACAGGCAGCCAATCAATGATTTATCATTGATGTTTCTGTCTCTCCCTCTCCCTTCCTCTCTGAGATCAATAAAAATATATATTCATTAAAAATAATAAACTCATATGTTCAAACCCTGTGTCCTCAACCCTTGCACCATCCTGCCACTTTCGATGAAGAGTTTCTGCTACATTTTCTTTAGCTCATGATTAGTATAATTCCATTCTGCTCCAATGAATTAGCTGCTTTGAATCTTACTCTGTGCTAAACACTTTACATATGTTAATATTTTTTCCTCACAGTGACCCATAAAATAGGCCCCGTTACTATTTCCATTTCATGGATAGGGAGACTGAGGCACAGAGACGTCTGGAAGTGTGTCCTTGCTGCCCTAGTCTGTGCCCTCCACCCAGGCCCCACAAGCGCCCCTTGGGGACGTATGGGCACTCACCTCAGCACTCCGGCTCCTGACCTCCATGGCGCTGCTAGGAGTCACCTGGGCCCCAGGCTCCTGCTTCCTCTCTCCCTTCTTCTGCAGGACCAGCTTCAGTTCTGCATGGAGCAGCTGCCTCTGAGCCTGCGGGGGACAGAGATGGAGGTTTGAGGCCAGGGGAGGATGAGGAGAAGAGGCCGGGCTTAGAGGGGGAGGTCAAGGTGGTATCAAGGGGAGGAGGGCCCCCCCAGCTGTCCTCTCACCGCCGCCTGGGCACAGGCACCCCCTCCTAACAGGAGCCTAGCCTGGCGTGCTGCACAGTCGTCTGTGGCACTCGCACCCTCTCTCTGAGGTCTTGCTGCCTGCCAAGGACAGACAAAGGCATGAAACTCCAGGCAGGCCGTGGAGGGGCAGGGAGGGGCATGTGCACCAGCCAGTGCTCACCTCAGCGTCACCTCCTTGGGCTTCCCGGGTCCGGGGCTCTAAGAAGAAAAACATGAGCATTCCTGTCAGCTAACCCTCGGACTGCTTCCTGAGTGCCTGGCCCTTTCTTCACTCTGTCAATACTCTATCTCCATAGCACAGGTGGAGAACCTGCGCCTCAGAAGCCCTTTACCCAGGATGACACAGTTGGCCGGCAAACAGGAAAGCCAGAACTAACTCCTAGGCCTTTCTGACAGCAGAGCCCCTGAGGCAAAAACCTCAACGGGCCAAGGGGGCCAAATGCACTATAAAATAATTATAACCGTCCCAGGTACTCCCCGTGGGTAAGTCACCTCACCTCTCTGTGCCTCAGTTTTCTCATCTATAAAATGGCATGACTGAGAGCACCTCCCTTGCAGGGCTGTTGGGAGAGTCAAATGAGTTACTAAATATAAAGCGTCAGGCACATGGAAGCCACTTCACGAGCACTTGCTGTTATTGCTAAGAATTTCCGGTGGCACTGATCTTGTGTCAGATGTTCCACGGGGGTTATTGCCTGTGGACCTCAGCACGCCCTTAGGAGTTCAGTACCCTTACTGAGCCCATTACGAAGACGATACCTGAGCCTGGGAGGAGGGGAGCCACTTGCCCTCATCACAGACTTGAACTTGTCTGAAAGCTCCAGCCCCTTATTCTGATAATAACTAGTGGGTATTGAGTGCTCACTCTCTGCCAGTCCTGTGCTAAGACTACTGTCCACCTCACGGAAAGCCCTAGCCCGTCAGCCCAAGAACCTTGCTCTGGTCACACAGCACAGGGAGAAGGAGGCAGAGCTGGATTAGTATGTAGCCTCCCCTGAAGCCCTTCTGGGGGAAGGGGATTGGATATTATGTTCCCCTTGTCTCCCCCCAGCTCTGGTCTTGTCTTCCCAGCCCCCACCTGGCATGCCAACACGCCAACCCCCACTCCCAAGGGAAAGGTCAGGCCTCACGCGGCACATTCCCTCAAACAATGGCCCATCTTCTGTGCCCAGTCACATTCCACCCCTGCCCACCCACCCCCAGCTGCACAATGGCCCTTCATAGCCCACCAGTGGCCAGGAGGGAGGACACAGGGACCCCCTCAATGTTCCAGCTATGCCCACTCCATTGGCTGCCCCCCCCCACCCCACCAAGTCCGAGGGCTCCTCTCTGGCTCTGTTAGGGGTCTGGGTCTCCGTGTCCTTTCCTGGACTCTCCTCTGAGCCCCAAGCCCCTCCAAGCAGGGCTGGCTTCCATCTGGGCATTTCCTCTAAACTGGGCCCTGTGTTGACACCCATAGACCTTGCAATCACCCTGGATATGGTGGCTGTTTTAGGATTGGAAACAGGCTCAGAGAGGGTAAGTGACCGGTCTGGGGTCACACAGCTAGCATGTGTGCCCTTCACCCCCAACCCTGCACCTTAACTAGCATTGGTGGCCCTGAGCACTGGAGGAGGCCCAAGGAGCAAAACAGCTGGGGCAGGAGCAGGGCTGGGCAGGGCAGGGGCAGGAAGTGGGGGTTGTGAAGGTGCCAGAAACAGGCACTTTTAGAGGGACCTCTGTGGTGCCAACCGAGCTGGGCAGGCACTTTGTAGACAAGGCCTCATGGTACCCCATTTTACTGATGAGTAAATGAGGGCTGAGAGGAGATCACCGTGACAGAGTCGGGACTTGAACCCAGGTCTCAGAAGCTAACTCTGAGTCCCTGACGCAGTGTAGCATCCTGAGCCGGGTGGGAGAAGCCTGGTCCTTGTAGGAAGTAGTGGAGACGGAGGAAAGGATCGCCTGGACCACAGGCTCCCTGCTTCAGGCGGGGCATCGAGGTCACACCCAGAGGCTGGCACAGGAAGCTCAGCAGGGGTGGAGGCACGAGAGTACCCTACTCCTCATCCCTGCCCAGGACAGCCGCCAGCCCAGGTTATATTTAGCCCCAACTGTGCCCTTCCTGAGCCACGTACCCAGCCCCCGGAAGGAAGCCCACCCCACCCAGGGCACTCTGTTCCCAGCTCTGCCCATCCTACTAGGCAAGGGAAGGAGGGGTGGGGAGTTCCTTGGGGCATCCCTGGCTGTGTTAGAGGAAGATCTAATGGGGCTCCCATGGTGAATCAAGGCACGGCAGGACCCTCCTGATGCCAGCAGCCACTTCTTGAGCAGGTCCTCTGGTGCGATCCTGGAACATTCCTAAGCTTCCAGAACTCCGAGTCCCCATTTCTAGAGCACGTACCATGTGCAAAGATCCGTCCCTGGATCATTAAATTCTCACAACACCTCCCTGGAAAAGGTACAGCTAGATGGTCATTTAAAATGCCACTCATGCCCTTCAGAGTGGCTGGGGTGAGAGGCACTGGGCCCTTTAGCTGAGCTGGGCCTGCTGAGGACTCCTCCAGCTTTGCCCTGTGCACCTCTTATCCCTATGGCTGGTGACAACCTCATTCTCCCCACTCGGAGCCTCAGCTTCCCTAGCTACCAGCCATCTGGTGCCCTCGGTAATGGGATGGGGATATTGACCTGACCCATCCAGGACCCTAGACATAACCTGAGGCCATCTAGTGAGGCCGAGGGGAGGCATGGCCTGCAGCTGCCTCGGTCAATGCCTGCTCCTGCACTTCTCAGGTTGGAACACTGGGGCACGGTATTTCACCTCTCAGGGCCTCGATTTTCTCAGCTGTCAAATGCAGCCAATAAGAATGGTTTTGAAAATTGGTAAGATAGCCCTGACCAGTTTGGCTCAGTGACTAGAGCGTCGGCCTGTGGGCTGAAGAGTCCCAGGTTCGATTCCGGTCAAGGGCATGTACCTTGGTTGTGGGCACATCCCCAGTAGGGGGTGTGGTGTGCAGGAGGCAACTGATCGATGTTTCTCTCTCATGGCTGTTTCTAACTCTCTATCCCTCTCCCTTCCTCTCTGTAAAAAATCAATAAAAAAATCTCTGTAAAAAATCAATTTAAAATTGATAAGATAATTGCAAGTGCTTAGAATATAGTAGGTGCTCAGTCATGTAAACTAGTCTCTGACAGCAAGTGAGAGTCCGGGCTGTGCTTCTCAAAGTATCTCATATCCAGCCTTTGCCCACCAGTAGCTCCGCACTCTTTCCTACCAAAGTGGAACTTTGGATGAGGAACAAAGTCCAGTTCGGGCATGACCTCACACCAGGTGAGCGCTGCCTCCAGCACACTCTTCCAGGGACCAAACTGCTGCCCTATCCCAGACATTCTTGCCCTACAAGCAGCAACTTATCTCCCCGTCAGCCCTGTGAGGTGGCCTTCAGCAGCCCCTTTTAGAGAAGTAAAGTGGAGGCACAAAGGGTGAAGTGTCTTGTCCGAGGCTGCACAGCCAGAAAGAGAGGAACGTTGGGATTGGAAGCCAGGGTCTGGCTTCAAAGTCTGTACCTTCAACTCCTACAACACGCTGCTTCCTGAGCCCCAGGCACCCTCCCAGCACCTCCCAGGACCCTGGGTCCCATTCCCGAGGCTTAGTAGCCTGGCCAGGAAGGGAACTGGCTGGCTGATCTCTTACCACTGGGCCTCCAGACACCTCCAGAGCAGCTCCTGTCCCTCGTCTGCTCAGCCCCAGCACCAGGCTGGGGGGGAAAAGGAATGGGGAGGGAAGAAGGGGGAGACCCCAGCCATTGGCTGCCCAGGCATGACATCACCAGGGGTGAGGGTGGGGAAACAAACATCCCCCCCTCCCAGCTACATTCACTTGCCTGGGGGTGGGGAGCCACAAGGCAGCCGTGCTCCCTTGCCTGGGGCGAGACTGCCACCATGAGCCCCTGCTCTTGGGATTTGCACAGCTACAGCCCCTTGGAGACTGAGCACCCCACCGGCATGGGTTCCTGGCTTTCAGAAACAAGCCTGGCCCCCCTGGCTCCCCCTAAAATAAACTTCCACTCCCTCTCCCAGCTCAGCCACCGCCTGGCTATGTGACGTTCAGCAAGTAACAGCATCTCTCTGGGCCTCCATTTCTTCATTTCTAAAACAGATAGTAAAAGTGCTCACCCTCATGGGTTTGTTGTGAAGATTAGATGAGTTAAAAGAGGCTAAAAACCTTTTAAAGAATCTGGCATAGAATGAATGCTACTTATAAATATTTTGCATTCTTATCCATACAAATCAGGGGGACAGCTAGCCTTGTCAGTGGGCTTTTGGCCTGAGTGAGACCAGGCACAGGGGAGTCCCACTACTCCGCTTAATGGAGCTGCCCTTTGGGGGCACACCTATCTTGTGCTAAATACTGTGCCCTGCTCCTGGAATCAAGGGTGCAAGGTGGGTAAATTATACCCACTTTTTAGCTATACAGCCAGGAGTGGCTGGTCTGGGGTCCAACTCCATTTCTGCTGGACCCCAAAGATGCTGCAACACTGTTCTGTCCCCCCATATAACAGACAAACAGGCTCTGAGAGGGTGACGCCCATGACCACCCACAGCAGGTGGTCGGTAGCACTAGAATTTGAACCCAGACCTGCCCAACTCCCAACCAAGGCCTCACCCTGATACCCTGGCCTCCGGCCCCCAGCCTGCCCTGACTCACCAGGCCCTGGGGGGCGGCATAGGAAGCACAAGTACCCCCACATGCCCTTCGAACCCTCCTGGCTGCTGCCTCGGATGCTCACAGCTCTCTGAGCCCAGGCCTGAGGCTGGAGCTGCTATGAGCCTGGGGATTACCCCTGAAGTGCACATCAGCAGCTTCTGCCCCATTGTGCAGCCAGGCGAGGCCACCAGGCCCTTTGTCAGCCTCAACCCTCACCCCAGCACAGGGGGCCCTCTGAGGAACTGTCCCCTTGACCACACTGCATATCAGGGCATAGGGACCAGGTTGGCAGGACCCCATAGGACAAGTTGGCAAGATCCCAGAATGCTCGGGGCCTCCTCTCTTCTCTCCAAAATGTCCCCTGCCCACTCTCAGCCACCGGAGAAGTCAGGAATGTGCTGAGCTCTGGGAAAAACCT